CTCCCTTTAAATCAAGAGGACTGCGTGGGCGAGAATTGCCTGGATGGTGAATTGGCCAAAACTGTGTAATTCATGTCATAAAGCAATGAATGGATGATTGGTAGCGAGGAACACGGGGACACTCTGTCTCTTTTTAGAATTTCAGCCCATGGCATACATGTTGTTGTGACGAGTGGGATCCCCCCTACAACGTAGAGTTAGACCTAAACAGCATGCAGCGCTGATTTACCCACCTGAATATGGATCATATGCTACAGACAGACAAACAGTGCAACAGAGGCTGTGAACTGTTTGTTTAAATCAAAAGCCTCCGCACAAAGAGGTGAAAATTGATCATGCTTTATTACCTGTTTTATTGTGCACACATTAATTTTCAGCCACTCTAAGAAGGTGATTCTCAAGCGATTTCAGACCATAAAACGAGTGTTCTTCCCAACAAGGATCAGTTGTGGGACCAAATCAAAGTGATTATCTCAGGGATGAAACTCCTGTTTTGGGGCACTTCAAAAAGCCTCCGTTTTTTGTGGAAACCGAATGAAGCTTAGGCTAAATACTTTTTTTAAAATCCGTTTTGTATTCAAAGTTGCACTGTACCTCTTCAAGCACAATTTGCAATAAACGCATCTGTTTTGTTAACTGATTGTTTCAGAAGGGTAGTCTACAACACTTTCCGGTGTACCCCATATCAACCTGCTGTTACGTGTCTGTCGTGCATTCTTTCGAGCTGTTAGACTGGTAGTCCAATGGTAAAGTGGGAAACACGGATTCCCCAATAAACCACTATTGTTATCGTTACACCTGTGTTCGTACGTGATCCGATAGAAGAAGAAATAAGTTTTACGTCGTAATATATGCCGATCACCTACACGTCCGGTGGTCTCAGTCTGGTGGGTTTTTTCACTCCTGGGTTATCACGCTAATTTGTTTACGTGCAAATTAAAGACAAGTCGCGTAATAGACAACCTCTATAAGTGCGGAATTTACGTGCGAATATAATTAGGCGGTATTCAACTATCAGCTTTTAACAGAAATATCAAACGTGCGTGGTATCTTGAGGCCTATATGGGCAGTCTGGGGCCGGGTAATCCACTCTAGGTTCGTCACTGTGATCCAAAAGTGCAAGTTATTTATAACGTAACCTCAGTAAAAGGGCAATAAAAAATATCGTGGCTTCATTACTTTCGCAGTATCTTTTGACCTTCAAACTGATAATCGTTGACTGATTGAGAATTTCCAAACAATGTCTCCTTGACGTCATGTCGACTGAACTTCACGTCACCTCCGGGGCACAAGAAGACGTGGTTGCTCATAGCCTGACCATTTGAGGATCATGACCGTTCGTTTGTATTACCAGCCACATATTGGGATTTTCACCATGTGAGTAGACTCGTATTGATTAGAAGACACAACAGACGATGTGAAGTCATAAAACCCAGAACAGGTGTGGATGACTTTTTAAGCGCGGCTCAGCTGTGTATGAAAAGCATGGGTGCGAATAATACTCTGCCCAACAGGTGCCAGAACTTCAATGGGCACTTCTGAAGCCTATTTCAGCAAATACATGAAGAATGGAGGTCATCGAACAAGTTTACAATGAAACGAGTCATTCAAGAGTAGAAGGTAGATATGATGACAATAATCAAAGTGGCAAAAAGGCCTATGTGTGTGCTACTGTTCGTCTGTATTTAATGATATATTGGTCTACTGACGAATTTACGTTTATTTATCGTGGGTTGTTTTTTTACGTTCCGATGGATCTAACAGCTCAAAAGGATGTAGATCAGTTAAATAACAACGGACTGATATGCGAACCATTGAAAAAGCCGCATAGTACACGTCGCGGTTAACAAGTCAACAAATCCGACATTTTTACCGTCACCCCTCAGTTTGGATCAGATAGACACAGCGCAGTTTGGGACAAACAACGATTTTTTTTAAAAACAAATATTTGCTATTATTAATATGTGGGAGATGATTTATTGTGCCCTTGTCATCATTTCACATAAGGAACCATAATTTTCTGAGATCCGTCGCCCTCAAAAGACCCCAACTTTGTAAAAAAAACGATATAACAAGACTCGTAGTAAAAAGAGAAAGCTAGCAACTTCTGACTTGTCCTGAAAAAGGATTTTGGTTGGTCCCTCTGTGGGGGATATCAAACTCAACTTCTGCTGGATCCCATCGGCAGTGGATTCGGTTGACACAATCAAAATATGGAGTCCGTTCATGTGACATTCCATTCGAGCGTGTTACAGCACAGTTAATGAAATCCAGCGCACTCACAGCTGATGCTCTGAGACAAATAACGATACCTGAAAGTTAACAACTGGAATATTTGTTATGAGTATCTGCTTCCTCCGGCGGAAAAGACTGTCAGATATTCGAACAAGACGCCGCAACAGTTGAAAGATCGCAGTCATCACGAGCCGGTCTCTGATATGTCACATGAGGGTGCTTGCACATCAAACTGGCAGTCGGGTTCTCAACTTGAAAGAGAGCTCATGGTTGTACTAACAAATCGGATGTACAAAGATTCCAGTATCTACTACCCTAAGAGACAATCAACTTGTCATTTAGATCGGTTAGGAAAACACTGATGTGACCCACAGAGCATAAAGTAAATTGGCAGGGACGGGTTATCTAGAGCGGTACATTTGGTTAAAGTGTGATTCCTTCACCAGTATTTTCCATTTTTCCATGATTTTACGTCAGCTCGGCATCGCGCAGTCTCTGTGCCATGATTAAAAACCATTCTTGTGTATCTGAGAGAACCAGTCACGAAGAGACTGGACCTTATCGTTGTGTGATGGTTTGCGCACCTCTGCGAGCCATTGGGCTATACTGGGGAGCGTCCCCGTGACACTCACAGAGTCTCTCATACCAGGTTGGTCAATGGTTAGAGGTCTGACGAACACAGTCTCCTGGCCCTCCAGGTTGTGGGTCGGAACATGTAGCGACTTGTTCCGTAGAAATGGTAATGCATTTGCATTTCCCGCCAAAACCGCTGCCTTGCGGTTAGGCTTTTGAGCCAAAGGCTTTGGTTGAGGACCCTAATCGTCCTCCTGTCTAGGTGTGGGCGCCCTGGCAGTATCCCAGCCCTCGTACAACCATGACCTACACAACTAACAATATTCTCATGCCACATCGGCCGTCGCGTGGTGCCATCAGCCGGGTCGCCTTACTTGCTGCATACAGCAGGGCGGGTAAGCGAAAACAGGCTACTGCTGACGCCTCCATTCTTTCTCCT